ATTCCCAGGTGGCCTGCCGACTGGCAAGTGAAGAGAGAAGCGTGAAAGCAGCTGCTGAAGGGAAGCAGCCTAACCCCAACGGCTGCCTGAATTAGACCTGAGGACCCTGTGCCATGGGGCCCCCAAAGAGCAGGAGTCTCTGGGAAAAGGTCACTTGGCTAATGCTCCAATTTCTACCCTCAAACTTGAAATCTACAGGGCCCCACTTCGGTTACAATGGGGGTTAGAATGGCCACAGAGTCTTTGTAGCTGCCCCTATTGAGAGCTGGAAATCTACTCCCTAACCTCTGAATCAGGGCTCAGTCTGCTTTGACCAACAGACTGTGGTAGAAGCGATGACTTCGAAGTTGGGCTTCTTAGTTTGGTCTACAAAGGCAGTTTTCTTTTCTTGTTCCTGCGGTCATGTTAAGAAGCCCAGGAGGGAAGAGGCCATTCCAATCTCTCAGCTGAGTTTCCAGCAAGTGAATAAGCAACCAGCCCCAGAAAACCTGCCAGCAGATGACCAGCACACCACCAGTTACCTTGGAGCAAATAATGTCTGCTGTTTTCAGTGACTGCTTTTGGGGGTGGCTTGTTACACAACAGTGAGGAACTGAAACATATGTATATTGCATTAATATCTACTATGCTGCTATGAATAAATGTGTTGGTGAGAAATGCATATTCATGGATATGTTTCTTGGACTTGACAACAAGAAAATACTGTCACCTAAACATTACAGTGCAAAGAATATAACAGGGCTCTGAATCAAAGAAGCTGAGTGAAGACTTGGATCTTGTCCTTTGAACCAGGGAATGTTTTGTGATCTCGCATCCATCACTTAACTCTCTCCACGTCTGTTTTCTTTTCTATAAATTCTTCATGGAATCAGAATGATGATTAAATGAGAACAACAGATGTGAAAATGCTCTGTAAGCAGAAAGGCACGTTACACATTTAAACTGTCATTGTCACCATTACCTCCATTTTACAGACTGTTTTCCTTGCTTGCAAAGACATCATTTGGACCAGTACTTGTGAGCATCTGACTGACGATCTTCTGTCACAGGTTTCCTTTCACATGAGGCATTTGCATGCGCACACACACACACGTGCACAAAGCACTTTCCAGACTGTCAGGTGTCACAAGCACCATCTGGTCTCCTTTCACCTTTCTGTCACCATGTAGTGTTTCCGGGGGCAGTGTAAGGCCCAGAACCACTAATTCTCATCCCTTTTCTGGTCTCTCCTGGATAGTAATGATGAGCTGCCATGTGGCTCACATCATATCCCAGTGCCAAGAAAAGAGAAAAGGATGAAACTAACTGGAAGGATGCTTGGAAATCTAAACCAAGCTGAGGGAAGAAGAACAATGGTTGAAATTAATTGTCACATATAAGACTGATACCAAACAGGATGTAGTTTGGGAGGGGAAAACAGAAGTGGGTCATTAACAAGGCCCAGAGACCCAGCTAAAAGGAATAAGCTACACTGAGGGCAGAAAATCAAAAGGTGCTGTGGAAAACCAGTACTGATCAGAGAGAAAAGTGGGGAGACATTTTTAAGCATGATAAGAACATTTCAGAGGGCAGTGGCTGCCACCCGTAAAGGGCCTAACTTGCATTTGATGAGTGAACGAACTGAAACAGACAATTCAAAAAGAAAATTCTCATGTTAGGCAAGGAGTCATAGACACTGGTCCTTAGAGACCTGAACAGGCAAAATGGTCCAGCTGGGAATGGCCATTCCACCTGGGAGCAGGTGAAGGAGGGAGCACTTCATTCTTAAAAAGATGGGAGTAGACATGGAGAAGCGGCCCAAAAACTCCTTTTCTGTTCTACGGAAATATAATACATCCTAGTACTTTAGGCAAATCTTTCTGCTAATATTTCACAGATTTCACCCTATTTTGTTCTAACTGTAAAGGATTTTTCCTCTGAATTTGCCATGTAATCAAATTGGATCACAAAGGCCCCAAGTTTTTAACAAATATACAGGTAAATATACAGGTAAAGATCACTTACAATAGGATGGCACATATTCTAAACTTTATACCCAATGACCACACTCTTAAAGAGAACTATGAATATGGGTCATGCATAGAATAAAATTATAAAGTCTAATTTTTCTCTTAAAATACTATCATTATAACTGCATAGTAAGCACTCTTCATTTTATTTTCATTTTTAAATGATTACTGGGTTTGAAAGTCTCTTGTCAAAGTATGACCTGCCTATCCCAGTTAATATGCTCAATTGGGCAGAAAAGGATTAAGTCGGTCATTGTCTGAGCCTATTCTGCATTTACTGACTCATTCAGTAATAATGCTTATACACAGAGGAAAAGAAAGAAGACATGATTCCTGACTTCCAGAAATGTCCTTTGGTTGGTGAGACAAGACTTTATGCATGTAACAGTTAAATAACAATGCCAGGAAGTATATGACTAATGGGTAACATGGAGTAGGATATGCTGGGAGTTGGTAGAGGGTGGGACAGGAGTCTGCTGAAACACTAACAGCTCATGATTAAAGTGGAGTTTAACTGGAGTCCTGCAGGATGAACAATAATAGAAACGGTGGAAAGGAAAGCCAAAGCCATCGCTACTGTGCGAGGTGAGCTGGGTACCTGAATGGAGGATTTCTACAGTATAGTAAATTGGGTCATAAAGAAGAGAAAGTAAGTAAAATTTCAAGGGTTTTAAAGACAGACAAGGGGGGGACTATTGCTATGCCAACACGGAAGTCGGTCATCATGGCTCAAAAGGGGCCCACTTGCTCCTCCAGCCATCCATACAATAAATGTAGGTTGGCAGAGCACATCAAGTCCTGTCCTAGGTACCAGAGGCTGTGAAACACTCCCTTTCCATAAGAATCACAAAGTAGGAGCAACTGACAAAAAGGAAAGAATAAAACCCACGATTTTAAGGTATGTGAAAAGTACCGCGACACGGGACACAGGGGAGCCCCTGAGTCACTCTTAGAGGCTGAAGCTGAGATCACTTCAAAGAGAAAGAAATGTAGTCCTGAGAGGGGTGGGAGGCATCCGGGGAAGAGGCATGAGAACAGGAGAGGGACGGGGTGCAGGTGGAACGAGGGCGCAAGCTGAAGGGGCGGAGGGTGAGTGTGGGTCACCGACTACCTGAAGCACAGGAAACCGAAGAGCGGTGAGAACTCATGCCTTCCCTGCAAATGATTTACAGTGGGCTTCCGAATGCCTCAATCTCTGGGCCGTCAGTTTCTTCACGAGAGGCACAGGTAACTGGCCACTCTTTAGTGTCAGTTACGTTGAGACCACAAGCCCCCCTGAGGTTCACGTTTACAAAACTTAAGACGCCTGGGGGTGAAATGAAGGCAAGACTTGAGCCCCCTTCCCCATCTAATGCTTCTTCTTGTAAACATCCTTGGCAGGTGAGCGTCCAGATGGAAAGAATCTCCCCCGTTCCAGGGAGCGCAGGCTACCTCAGGAAGCAGCCTGACTCATTACTGCGCATCACCAGTCCTGAGAAACTTTCCCCCTGAGATTAAGTATGTTGTCCTGTAGCTTCTACCCATTTTGACCCCCAGAGTGACTGAGAAATAGCCTTCAGGACTTCCTACATACAGATGGTGCTTGCAAGAGTGAGCTGAGAATTGGCCCTTTTCCTCATTGAAAGTACTTGTCAATTAACAAGTGGCTTAGTTTTGATTAATTAGGTTCTCAGATATAATATGTCACCTTCCTCTTCATGAAGACCTTGAAGGGACATCTGTTCGTAATGCCCCATTTTTCTCCTCTACTGATTAGTACCACCGTATGTTCGCACAATACTTCACTCCTTTTCAAACATTGTTACATAAATCATCACACCATAATGTTGTAAGAAGGTGCTGCGCCACTGAGTTATCTTCACAAAAATCTTTTTATCTGTTTTATGACACAGTCTAATGGATAGATCAAGTTGTGAAAATGTGTCTGAGAAACCTAGGGTTTCTGAATAGGACAAAGGCTGCGAGAAGCCAAAGAACTAACATACTTTAAAAGACAGAAAAAATAATTATCAGAACAAACTCAATGTCTACACTCCACCTATGAGTCAATAACTGATAACTAACCTTAACTATGTGCTACACTGATTCCTATCTTAACACACCATTTGTCTAATCACAACTATTCATGCAGGAAATACAGAGGCTAAGTGCCTGGCAGTGGGGTTGAGAAAGAGGAGGTGAGAAACGGAGAGAGATAAGGCATGGTTCCAACTCTAGATATTCAATGTAGAGCAAAGGCTGAAAGAAATGAGATGATTTGGTTGCCAGGGAGAGATGTGGGAGAGTCTGTGGCAGAAAAGAGCAGAGGGAAGACCAGAAAGTAAACCTCTTAATTCCAAGCAAAGTCTCGTCTCAAGTAGGGTACCCCAGGCCAACTCTGAAGCTATAAAGAAGCCTCGCCCAGGACCAGGAGACCCTGACATTCTGGAGTAAGCCTGGTCCCACAGGGCTGAGTGGATGTCTTGCTACTCCAACCAAAGTGCCAGCAGCTATGACCTCCGCCAAGCCCAAGAGATGGGACTTGGTTCTACCCCCAAAAAGTCTAGAAGAACTTATGCTCCCCTTTGCCCCAGGAAATAACAGGTCTGGACAGATGTGTGACTGCAAATGGCCAGGATGTCCGCATGCAGCTTCGTTCCACTGTTCAAGCTGCTGAAGCGCCGCTAAGATTCACTGCTGGGAATCAAATGCCTGCTATGGATGGGTACCCCAGTGACTCCCTGGCCATCCACTGAGGAAGCCTGTGTAGTTCACAGCCTACAAAAAAGCACAGGCACCCCAACCTGAAGAATCTGTAAGGATCAGTAGTGATTTAACCTGATGACACCAGGCTTGGTGCCGAGGAACATGTATTAGCACCAAGTCATAGTGAAGGTCAGTGACTTCTCCAGAGAAGCGGGAGTACATCTGGTTTCCCTAACGCTTGGGGAAACAAACGGGGTGCCTGGACACAAGACTTGATAAAGCCTGACAAATGGATGACAAACCAACCTTGTGGGCAGGGTGCAGCAACCATCCGCGGTGAGCCTGACTTGAGTTTCGTAGCTGTCCAGGGGGCACACGGCCTGCTGCACGGAGGGGCACTCCACGGTGCTGCAGTCCACACTGAAAACTGAAGCGGAGACAGAGGCACTGTTTACTATCACATTGACTTGCATTGTGAGCTTCCCAAATCAAACACTGTTCTTGAGTAATTTCTGCTTCTTCCTTGCTACTCAGACTCTGCCCCAGTACTATTACTTTTATTTCAGACAAGTTAAAGAGCTGGAGTGATGTTCAAACCTGTGCAAGACACCTTAGAAGTCAGATGAAGACAGAGCGCGAGAAAGCACAGTGGGTCCAGGCATGGTTCTGGTCAGCCAGAGGCATTTCTGAGAGAACAGCCCAGAGATGGAAATGGGATTATTTTGCTTCAAGCGTTTATCTAGTGGTTACATAATATCTGACCAACGGTTAGAAACTGGCAAAGAGGCAAACACTACAGTCTAGGCCTAGTCACAGACCAGATTAGAAATGCCACCACAGGAACAAGGATGTTAGAAATGATACGAAGCAAGAAAGAGCTAGGACAAGACAAATCAAATGTGGGAAAGAAGATGAGTCAACAGTCGAAGGTGACTCAGCACATGCTGTGACGCCCAGGGAACGATGGCGGGGAGCTGGGAGAGAAAGACAGGGGCTGGGTGCTGCACCACAGACGGCTAGCATCTCGGTGCACGTATTTATCAAAAGTAACTTTGTTCAATGCATAATGATTAACTGCAATACTTTAGAGTGACTGATACAAGGACACCATCATAATGTCCTCGATGAACAAACTGATGAGGGCTGTAACTTGCTGGGAGGGAAGGCAGAAGATGCCCTGAGTGCCACAGACCCACCCCCCTCATCAAGCGTACTTTGAAGGAAAAAGAAAAATGGTATGAGAGTCAGACACAGTTCCTCCCTGAAGGCACTTAATCCACCAGTGGGCTGCCATTCTGGTTCTCTGCCTAGATGGGCCAGAAGACAGACAGCTGCTAGCCCAAGGCGGCAGGCTGGCGGGGCACAGACAGGGCGCCCGTCTTCATGTGGAAGGAGGGTCAGGCAGCTCCTGGGGCTCGCGGCCTCTGGTGCACAGATGAGCTCGTGCGTACCTGGTTTGCACTCATAGAGGTCACAGCACTCTCCCGGCTTCCCTGAGGCTTTGGACACTAGTATGTTCAGGAATCCCCGCTGGCACACTTTGCGCAGGCAGCCTGCAGGGTCGCACACGCAGCGGCTGGGCAAGGGGCAGCACTCCCCAGGGGGGGCATAGCCCTCGATCAGAACCGAATCTTCGGGGCAACGCGGAGAGAACTGGACTTCACAGCGGGCCTTGGAGCAATCTGGCTTCTCTTCTAAATGGGAGAGAAAGAATTTAGCATATGCCCCGGGGCAGTGTGGGTGCTTCCCTCAGAAGTACTGCTGACTAGCAGGGGGAGGCAGACCAAGAAAATGGATAAAAACCCTCAAACTGGGCTCACCAGGAACAGCTCCCCCAAGATGAGCTTGCGGCATCAAGCCTGAGCCTGAATTACCTTGCACAACTTCCCTCTCTCTCTTGCGTGGACAAGCAGCATACAGTGCATTGACCCAAATGAAGGCAGGCAAAGGGGAGAGGTCTACATGACATGGAAAATCCAGCACTTAAGTCTATGACTAACCAAAAAGACATCTCAATTTACAAAGTGCTCAAGGGCTGCTCTTTGCAGACTGTATGTTTAAACACTAAGACCAATGCACAACTAAATCATGGCTACTTCATGGGCTGGAGACAATGTACATGACAGTCAACATGAATGAACTGACCTCCAAGATTGAATTTTCAGAAGATGATGTTTTAGATCATGTGACTCCATGGTATGGCAACTCAGCAAGATGGCTAATGAGCCAAATACCCAGGTAACTTCCCTAAATGACACCTGGTATGTTTCCGTCTCTAGCAGAGATTCACTAATGTACTTCATTTGCCTTTCTCTATTGTTATACACTGACTGACCTTTGTATACTTTAATTTTAGGGATAGAAAATAATGAATCAAGATGGGTAATTTCCACAGATCTTAGGCCGGGTATCAAAGCTCTAGTTTCTAGAGTTCTGGGCTAACGTAGTGCCTTGGTTTTAAGAAGACCTATGCCATCACAATGTCCTTGATGAACAGACTGAGATGAACCCACAGCACCTCCCAATCCATGACCTTTGGTGATGGGCGAGTTGGGAAAATGACGCATATAGTGATATAGTATTATAACACCTTTCCATCATGTCTTTCCTAAATAAAGCCCAACCACAAATGATAACACAGTTAGACCCCAGAGGTCACCTTAATTGAGCCCAAGAATTCAAAAGTCATCTGCCTAAGGTCGGCTGTACAATTAACTGAAAAATACAGGCAAGCTTGCTTTCTCTTCACTTGGCTCTTGTATTACAAGATTTATTTCCAAAACCAAGTCTGTACCTTAGGTCACTTTCTACCTTCTTTGCTGGGCCTTTCCTTTCTCCCACGATCTTCCTTCCCTAGCCATGCCTTGTCTAATCAAAATGTGGTACGTGAGAACTTACAGGCTTGGTCATAACAGCGACACTGAGAAGCTGATGCTGAATGAAGATGGGAAGGAGCAGGGTGGATGAGCCAGGGAGGGACTTGCAAGAACCACATTCTAGAAGTACAGCCTTCCTATTTCACAGGCAGACCAAGAGGCCAGTGTGGCTCAGCAGGATACAGGGGAACCCAGGTATCCTACTGTTATATCACAACCCCCAGGAACTGCCAGCAGAAGGAACGAGCTTAAGAGGAATTCCATCCGTGGAGCCCCATCAGTGTGGGCAGCGCAAATCAAAGAGATAAGAAAGGGGACTTGAAGTGGACTCAGCAGACAGTGTTTCTGGCAAACACAAACCCACTGTCTTGTAACTAATAAAACCTCTGTGACTTTAATTGCAAGTAGACTTAATTCCTGATTGAGTGCAATGCTTAACTTATTCCATCTCACATTCTACTAAATACTTACTCAGTAAAGTATGTGATACATATAATCAGTCTTTTCAAGCGTGTGCTTCAAGAGAACATTTAAACCCAATTAAGAGATTTTCCTAGTTATTCTGCTCTGTATGAAATTTTTAAGCAGCTCCACCACTGTCACCTATTGTAGTATTTTGTAGGTCAAGTCTTCAGAGATTTACTTACTCCTCAGGCACCAAGACTAACGGGTCGGGGCTACCACAGGCACTGCTTAAACCATAACTAAATCAGAGTTCAAAGAGATGTAAGAATGTTAAAAATGAGGGTTATATCTTATTAAATGCTTTTTCAACTTTTCTCACGTGATCATACTGGCTTGGCCATTAATTTGTTAGTATCATCAATCAGCAGATTCTAAACCACTTTTCTTTTAGAATAAACCTGATTTTTAAAGATCCTGTTAGCAAGCTAACAAAGCAACAAGTGCTACTTTGTAGCATTAAAATTTCTAAATTTATAAGCCTAGAGCTTTGTGTAGTATATGCTGGGCCTTATCCTGTCTTTATTTCAGAGTTACAGGAGCTGTGCAGCATTCTACCTCTTCTTCTCCTATGAAACAGTTTAAACACCTCAGGAGCCCTCTATTCTGATGCCTGCACGCAACTACCCAGGAAACTAAACTCAGTGTATCTCCTTACAGGAAGATGGGGCAGATTTCCCAGTCTGGCAGCTGGAGTATGTGCATGTCCTTACTCATTTAGATTTATTTTCTTTTTTGTAGTTTATGTGTCCATGAGATCAGTTAAGTCTTGAAATATCTTCCTTGGTAGGTTATTACTGTTTTTTCATCTACTGGTTTTATATAGTGTTTATTTTACTTCTATTAGTTTTAAAAATGCAAATAGTTATAACTAAGTTTTATGTTAGCCACATAATGCTTCCTTTGTATTATAATATCTGACGTGTAATGACCTCAATGGAACTCATTTCCACATTATCTATAATTCAACTTTGATTTCCTCTTTAAAGATGTTTTAGAACAGTGCTATTAAATTCCTGTATAGTAGTTACTCTTGGCTTTCCTTCTGATTTTAATTTATGGTTTTCCCCCTTGCTGCCAGAGAATGTGATCTGTACAGTTTTCTACTTCTGTTAATTTTTCAGGTTTACGTTTTTTTCTGGCATGCACATTTGTGTATGTGGCCTTTGGCCAACTTTAAATATTTGAGTTTTTGAAATGAGAATGTATTGTTTGTAGGTTGCAAACTTGCAAGCTTCTTTATTACAGAAATTCATATTCACCTGTATCTTAGCTTATTTATGATTTCTAAGAAAATTATAAAATCTTCCCACCACAAACCAGCAACTTCTTGTATTTCTAACAGCTTTTACTATAATTTCTCAAGTTGGTGTTGTTAACCTCATGACTAGCAGGCATAAAGATGGCTGGTAAGTTGTAAAATCATGTTTTCAACGAATTTAGATTTCTAAGAACTGTATTTTTTTTTTTTTTGGTGATTGTTAACATTCTTAACTTTATTCTTTTCTTATTTGCACCCTCTACTCATCTTGCAACACATTACCTAGAATCCTTTCTCATCCAACATCCTGTCTTCCTCCAACTGGTCATCAGCACAGTCACTTAAACCTGGCTGATTACCATAGCATTAGGAATTGTTTTCCCATTGTCTTCACTTTCAGCCTGTTTCTAAATAATTCTTGCAGTACTTTTCATTTATTTATCTATGACTTTATTCTATCTTCTATGGAGACAAGAAAGAAAATGCCAGTCACATGATGCATTTATCAGATAGAAGGCTTTTCTTACAGCAACTGATTTATTATATATTAGAAAAGAAGCCTCTCCTAATTCCCTATGCTTGTCTAACAACGCTATAAATAATACTTAAAGTTAATTAACAAGTTTTTCAGTTTGGTTGCCCTGGAAACACTTGCAATGGGCATCTAAAAACACAGAGACACCAAAAAGTGCCCCAGATATAAAACCAAAGTAACGCAATCACTTGCAACAGAGGTAATTAAGGAGAAACAAGCTGGTTTCATCACATTAATAATCTTTAAGAGGATACCCCTTAAAACACTGACAGGGTCACCCAGTGTTGAAGTGATTTCATAATAAAAATGGAAAGTCTGCACCAGCCCTGGGCATGCTGGCCTGTGAGGCCGCATCCCAGCTTGTTCACAACCACCTCCTGGTCCTGTGTCAACAGGCAAAGTGCGGTCATGACCTGCAAGCAGCCAGCACGTTCAGGGGTCTTTGTTTAAAAGCTCATCTTAGTCACACCAGAGCCAAATGATAAACTTCTAGTAGATGAGGAGAGAAATTATGTTGCCAGATCCTCATTACCCCTACTTAATCCTGGACAGCCCTACACATCTAAAACTGAAGTTTTCTTCCTTCTTAGAAGTCTCCTAAAATGGTGACTTAAAAATAACAGCCGAGACGCTGTGCATTTATGAATGGAAAACAGGCAGCACCAAATGGACCAAGAAAACCCGGCTCACCAGCTACGAAGTGAATGCTGCTGGGCACGCTGCCCTCTCTGAAGTCTGCTGTGGCTCACTCTCATCCCCTGCCACTCGTGCACTCCCACGCACACACGCCTACTCCATTCTGAGACAATGCCTGCGAGTTCCAGCTACAGAGATCAGCCAAGGAATCCCAAATTTGGATTTAACTTGCCATCACAGAATTGAATACACAGAGCAAAGAGAAGAGTGGGGTGACTTTGTTTCCTCTATCCCTCACTCTGGAATCTAAAGTCCCTCGGAGTAGCGACGGCACTACTCTGGAGGTTCAGCTACTGGTGCTCCTGGGAGACAAATCTGCTTATGGCACCATCTGAGATGCAATCTATGAAGTCCTCTCCAATCCCTCTTTCACTCATTCATTCAACAAATATTTACTGAATCACTTCCATGTGCCAGGGGTCCCAGGGCTTAGCATAAATATAACAAAGTCCTTGCCTTCCTGAATTTACAATTCCAAGGAGAGAGACAATAAACAAAGAGCTACACAGCATAATAACGCAGCTGTGATAAATGCTCCAAGGCAGGCTCAGCAGCAGGGATGCAGTAGCCGGAGGGCACAGGCAGGTGTCCCTGGGGGACAAGGCACCTGCACGGAGACCTAACCCTGACCAAGAGCGCAGCTGCCAAGCCAGTGGCAGGACAAGATGCCCAATTTTCAGGAAAACAGCAAGAAGAGAGGCCGTGAGGTGAGAACTACCTTACTCTCAATCCGCAAGTGTAACTCACGTAGTAAGTCTACACTAGTATAATTCATGGTAAACATACCAATAAAAACTGACAAGAAAAATACTTTGATGGATGTTTCTTATGAGGACTGAATGCTCACAAACATGCTAGAGAAAT